CTTGGGTTGTGTGGGCCCCTGAACAAAAACCAGCAGACTACCAAGCACACAAACAGAAAAAGAAACAAGTTCAGATACTTCAGCATTTATCCATGCTTTTCATTACAAGCATGTTCCCTGTGGCACGTCCATGCTCTGTCAGGGCAGCAGCACCCCAGTCCCAGAGTCGGATGCCTTCCTGTGAGTGTGTTCAGTATGTCACACGGCCTTCGTATTTCTTCTCTAACAACTTCATTCATACTTTTCTACCATATGATCACATGGTGGGATACTCCTTGGAAACCATTCAGACCTGCACTCGGGGCTGTGAGCACAATCATATTCATCCTCCACACAGGCATCAGTCCCAGGAGGTAGAGGTCCTGCCACATCCTGTTGGAATGAGCTCCACGTGACATACGTGCCTTAGAGGATGTAGGAATCAATAGATGGCATCACATCAGCCCTCTTTGATGTCCATGCCTCAAATCTTCACCACAGTAGTAGCAACATGTCCTGTTGGAAAGCCCTACAGAAGGAACATGAGCCATACCTATCTTTCATCCTTGCTCTGTGGCCACCGCATTCATGGTTCACTGTTCACATGTCATATCAACAGAGTCCCCAGTTCTGTAGGGATAATCCTGTCCATCAGTGCCTGTACACCTGAACCTCTTGCTTCTTGCTGCTCAAGGACAGGATCATGGTGGGAACCAGGTTCCTCTGTTGTCATTGAGCAGAGTCTACGTGTTGGGTCTTGAGGGTGGGGCTCTCAGGGTTTTTGTGCTATTGGTCCCCTGGCAGGCACAGGGAACCTTTAGTGTTTTCTTGGTTTTGGCAGTGAGTGATTTTCTGTCCTTCTCCCAGGGAGTGTAGATTCAGATGATTTTTTTGTTTTCATCATGAGAAGTCTAGCAGTGCACCACTGTCCAGAGCCCCACTTCCTTAATTACCAGCACTATGGGAATCAGCAGGTGCAAACTCTCTTACCAGTTTCTTAGGAAAGTCTGTCATGACCAGGGATTGTGGAATAAAGAGCCCATCATCAGGTGTTCCTCTCTCTATCCTGAGCTCAAGTAGTTTATTACTGTAGATGAACAACTACATAGGGTCTCAGATAAAGGTGCTTTTCTGGATGAGATCAGATTTGTCCTAGAGACATGAGGGACATTCCCAGTATCTACCCCTCAGTGACCTTTCCAGACTGTTTCCCATGACCCAGGCCTATTGGCTTAGTGTCAGGCTGTGCTTCCCTGTGCCCTGGAGTCCCCCCCCCCCAGGAAAATACTGTTTTGTTGAATAAGATGCTCCAGCCTGTGCTGCACATTGGGGTCTTTCCCTTGTTCTGCCTTCAGTCAGCATGTACCATTTTGTTTGGTAAAGTGGAATCCGAGGCCTTCTGTGTATTCCATAGGACAGCTACGTCCCATGGTGCG